AACCAGCACGACCGGCAGTGAAGGCGACGAGCTCCGATGCTGCAACTAGAGATTTTTATTGCTGGAACCAGACGGTAGAAAAGTTGCAACCACTTTTGCCACGTGTTGGAACTGGACGACGTCGAGTTCGTTTTTTCTGGAACTGGCAAAATAAATTGCTGGAACCGGCAAGATATTTTGCTGCATAGGTAGGTGAGAGTTCATGGCTTACGGCTCCACCGTTGAAGCTTTTTTCATTGTCGGATGAAGCTTTTTTCGTCGCCAGATGAAGCTTTTTTGTCACCGGTTGTAACTTTCCTTTGGTTGTTCATAGTCTCCTGTCGTACGAGTTAGAAACTTTTTTCATAGCCGGTTGAAGCTTTTTTCGTCAGTGATTGTAGCTTTTTCCGTTGTCGGTTGCAGCACTGGGCACCTCTCCGGCGCTTGATTTTTGTTGTTGCAAGCGGGGTATGAGCGCCAGCAAGCACACCGGTGAGCTCCGGTCGTTGCCACCGGAGCTACAACGGTTGCCACGAAAACTACAACCCCGGGTGGGCTATTGCATGGCCGAAGCCGGTGACGAGGACGGCCGCCGAGGGCTGGGACCGGCGACCATGGCGGCCGGCGAGGGCGGCGAGGGTGGCGACGAGAGACGAGGAGGGCAGGCGAAGGGGCGGCGACAAGGAAGAACACACGCGGCCGGCGAGACGCGGTTCCTTTTCTCGTACGCGCTGGCGAGAAGAAGAAGACGATCTGAGCTAGCACGATTTGGTTGGATAAAGATTCAATGGCTCAGGACAGACAGATGTGATGGCTAGGGTGCGACCGGCCGAAACGTTCGGCCAGCGCACCGGCGCCCAGCATCGCCCTTTTTCTTCTCTCCTCTGGGATGCTTTACAGATGTTGCTTCTTGCCAGCGCGGTATTTCCACCAACTGTTTGTTTTATTTAGTTATCTCATCAAGTTAATTTTCGTTTGCGGGGACTCAGAAGTTAAATTAATCTCACAACCCAACGGAAGCCTCGCAATGTTGACACCGCATGCACACCTCACCTGATGTTCTTCTTATCCTACAAGGGGAAGAAACTTTAGATAAATAAATGCCTCCTAGTACTCTGCTCAGCTCTGTCCGGTCCTATTTTCTGTTCTTCCGAAGTGTCTGGAAGACATGAAAGATGTGATATCTTTGTGCAAACAAGGATATGGGTTAAATGTCTAACACTCGCTGGCCTTTTCTTATTCATTGATGTGATTGACAGTTTAAATCTTTAAAAATCAAGTATGTCGGGGCAATAATTTATTTGGGCCAATAATTGCTCACATATCAGAAGCTTGACAGGGTATTCATGGATACGACCGGGAGCTAAAAATCCCTATCGTAACCGTACGGACCCACCCTAGGGCGTATAGAGGCGCTATCAGGTCATATGTGACCACCATTCTTGATTCTAACTCTACGAGTCTACCTGCTTGCTGCCCTTTCAAATTTAAATTAGGATGTTTGCACCGGAAAGGCTTTACAGACATACTCCCCGTTGGGCGGATCAGGAATACCCTGATGAACGGGCCCTCATTGGTGATACACCTATTCCGAGATAAAACTTGAAAATAAGGGTTACAAGGCTATTCCTATCTGAATGAGCGAAACACAAAACACAATGTCTCTCTTCTATTATTGACGACATCAAGAAAATCGCAGAGACTCACATCTAGTCACAGGAAGAGATCGAATTTAAAAATGAATCCAATGAGAAGATTGCACGATTTTTGAGAGAAGAAGAAAGCCTGAACTCACTTGCCGCCACCGCTGATGAATTCGTCGCCCGAATTGAGGAGAAGTGGATCTCGGAGAGGGGAGCGGGCGGGGAGCTCTAGATGAGAATGCGAGATGGCGTGCGCACCTCGCAGTCGATTGGGATTAATAAGTGTGACATCACTCCCCCACCCATCGCCATGCTCGTGGATCGAGGAAGACGTCGAGTCGCACCGAATCAGCTCCTCGAGCCGTGCCAAATGAAACAGGAAATGTACCGCGTCGCACGGTACAAACCCCTCATCCTCGCGACATGTATGTGTGTCGACAACATGGCTGGCCTCATCGAGGAGAACCAGTTGCCGCGCCACCACCCGCCAGAGAACCGCCCCTCGTCGGTAAACGCGCCCGGAGCCGGGGACAAACCACGCCGACCACCGTGAGTGGAGACGTGCGTGGTACGAAACCCTCATCCTCGATCGGTCCACGGCCGGCTCATGGATGTCACGAACATGTGTGATGTCCTCATTCTCAGCTCATTGTGATTACGGAGAGGGGTTGTTCTCGGCTACACGGTACTATTTCCACCGACTGTTTTATTAGTAATACCTCGCCAAGTTAATTTAATCTCACAAGACAACGGAAGTCTCGAAATGTTGACACCACATGCACACCTCACCTCCTGATACTCTTCTCAGCTCAGCTCATTCCGGTCCTGTCTTCTCTTCTTCCGAAGTGGCTGGATCCAGGCAGTAAAGATTGGTTTGATATAGAGACACATTTTAAAATGTGTCGACACTTTTCGGCATCATTTTAAAAGCCATTTTCCGTCTGGTCGGGTGATCGCTACTTAAGCTCACCCACCGTCTTCTTCTCCGCACCAGGCGAAGAATAATCCCTCGGCTCTTCTCTTTCTTCTCCCATGGCGACGGCGACGACGGAAGGCCGTGGGCGACAGAGAGCGAGTCCGGACCGCCTCCCCGTGCCTCCCCGCCCCAGCTCTCGGTCCCGCTCCCGCTCCCGGTATCGGCATCGCGCGCCGCCTCGCCACGCTCCCGGGTCCCGGCATGCTCAGGGCCGTCCCCGCGCTGAGCCGTACAAAGGAAGTCCACTTGCAGCTTTCCTGTACTTGTGTGCGGCGCTTGGAGTTGCCGTCGCCATTCGGCTGTGCGCAAGTCCGCCGCCTTCGTACAGCACGTTGCGGGCCTACCGAGGCCTCGCCGCCGCGGTCGTCGGCGCTCTCATCATCGTCCTTTTTCTGAGGCATCCTCCCCGCTGGGCGGATCAGGAATACCCTCATGGACCTAATCAGATCCCGGCGGCTCCGGCTCCGCAGATTCAAACGGAGCAGCCACGCCTCGCTCCCACGCTCTCCATCACCATCACTGGGGGCGTACTGGACGCGAGCCAGGTTGCTGCTGCCATCCGCAGCTCCATGGCAGACAGCACCCGTCCGACTCCCGCCTTCAGTCCACCCCAAGCTGATTCCTCCGATTCCGACTCCGACGGGTGCGGGTCAAGCACCAACGGCGACGAGACCAATAACTTGTGGTATACTCCCGTCCATCTCCTGAAAGCAGGGGATGTCTGTCTCATCCTCCCCGTCTTCATCCAGCAGCTCCAAGAGATGGCTCCAGGGTTAACCGAAGCTGAATCCCTTGAATTGCTGCTGAGAGCGTTCAGAGAAGCCAACAAATCTGAGAGATTCCACAGGTATTAAATCCCCAAGTACTCGTTGATTTATTTCAGCACAGGTTTGGTTCTTCCATCGGCACGATTTTTGTTCTTCCAAGAGGAAAAAACTCCAACTTCTCTACTTTGAGTCCTTGACTTTGCAATACTAGTCGATTTATTTTCTATAGATATACTACTCCCTCCGTCCGAAAATACTTGTCATCAAAATGGATAAAAAAGGTTGTATTTAGAACTAAATACATATAGATACATCCGCTTTTGTTCATTTTGATGACAAGTATTTCCGGACGGAGGGAGTATTTCGTACAATCTGTTTTAAGGACAAGATCAAACTTCAGAGTAGTTGACTTACTTCGGCAATACTTCCAAGTAAGTGTTAAAACCGGCGGTATTTTTCTCGCTCTAAGCTTTTATGAATCATGTTTACTTTACACCTTGGATGGACATTATGACATTATGTGGGCAGGTTTACTCTGCTGGTATGAGAACATCTGCCACGGAATCCTAGTACTAGTATGTTTGTCTTTACATTATGACATTGTGTGGTTTCTTGTGATTGTATCATGCAACCTGTAGTAGGACTGGCAGATAAGAGCGCCTTTGGTGCTATATAATTGATATATGGATATAGACTTGATACATTCTGAAACTGTGTACGTTCTTAGCAGTACATTCTGAAGTTTGATCTTGTTCCTAAAACAGATTGTCCGACGTTGTTGAGGAGAACCAACAGATTATCTATTCGGATCCTCATGCGTTGACAGACAAATCGACAGGGGCTTTGATCATGACGATGAAAATTACTGCAAAACTTGTACATTTGATCTGGTACGAATTAGATGTGCAGAATTGGAAGCTATGTCAGGAAGTCAAAAAGGTATGCTTTCAAGAGGTTGTTGGGCAATCTGTAGAGAAGCTCCTTGATGTTGCACTTTCTTTCAGCAATGAAAGTTGGTCTGCTGATCATCCTTTGCCAATGCTGACTACCTTTGATGCGCTTGTCGATGTCCAACATAACATAAGGGAATTGCCTTTCAGCAGAATCGAGTATATTCCTGATGAGGTCGCTGATATACCGGACTTGCCCTGCAGCAGATATGAGTCCATACATAATGTGGTTGCTCATATTTTTTGTAAGATGGTGGTTGATTTGAAAGGAATACTTGAGGGGACTATCAATGACATGCATATCAGCAGAGAACGTGCTATACATCCAGTAACTGCTCTTCTTGTACGATACCTGGAATTTTTCTATCGTAACGGAGAGATGATGCAGTCAGTTCTTGGCACCGGGGATTGCACTATTGAGCTTATCATGATTGGCTCTTGGGTCTCCAAGCTCACTGAAGATGCAGAGGTAATGTTCCCAGGGAAGGGACAAAGGTGCATATACATGTTGAATAACATGGATTATGTTTATCAACTGAAGCATCATCCTGGAGGATTCCTTTCAAATATAGAACTGCAAAGGGGTCTCTGTTCGCTGATCCATCAATACATTAAGGCCTACCTCGAGGAATACTGGTTTCCACTTATGCTGTCATATCTGGATGGTGATTCTCTGAAGAAGCCACGCCGTTCATCCTTGTATAAATTCACTGAAGAGTTCTTTAGAATCTGTGATGGCCAGATGACATGGAAAGTTCGCACTAAGCTTAAACAGAGACTGCGTGAACAGATAGTGGAATTGATTGTTCCAAAATATGTGAACTTCTTAGAGGCGCTGCAGGACAATCCAAGTTCTTGGTTGAAGAGGATGTGCCGAGCCAGATCTGAGAAACTGGTCTGCACTGCTGCGCGACTGGAAGAGGTGATCAGAGGGCTCTTTGAAAGATAGCATCTAGAGAGCTAGTCAGCTAGAAGGGCGCTAAACTTGTACAGGATCGGTGCATTTATCATATACTCCGTCTTAGCATTTAGAGAGCATTTGGTCTGGTGACCCGGCTGTGTTGCCAAATGGTGTGGTGTATAGTTTTTTTTTTTTTGGGTGAGGGTGGGGTGTAAGAATATTTTATGTGACCAATGTAAATTAGAGTGGGATTTTAATTAAGAGTTCTAGTATGATGGTTGCTAGAAATAATAGATAAAAGTCTGGGTTTTAATTCCCTCTTTTCTTTCTCTATAAGTTTCACACACGTGTAGGTGTGTGTATGTCAAAGCTAGATGGATACATGTATATGAAGCT